TAGCAAAATAGTATTAATGATTTTTAGCCAATGATTTGATTGCATATCACATGATTAGGGCATGCCTATTAGCCTTTCGGCATGCCCAAAAGGCATGCCCGTGCCTCTGTGCCTCGAACCCTAGCTTGGCCCCATGATCAACATAATTCGGTTAAAAAATTTTTTATTACAGCAATGATGTAAAAAAGTACTAATAAAATTGGTAGCAATCAATCAAAATAATATGAATAATAAAAAATATATATAACGATAAATAAATTAAATTTATGACTTAATATATAGGTTAATAAGCTCTGGATCTAAAGTATAAACGAATATTATAAAATTAGTACTAAAATATCGATAAAATTCTAGATAAATTTTTACAGAATACATATTTACCAGCTACATTACCCGACTTAACTTCTTCACTGAATCGTTGAGAAATTTTATCAACGTCAATAAACTGACTTGTATATATACTATCTAAAATTTTTTGTGTTTTTATTGGTTGTTGTTGAATCATGTCATCTGCTTCCCAAAATTTATTACTTATTTCTAATTTCTCATCTAATTCTTCTGATTCGTCAAACGTATCCGTTTCGTCAGCCATATCCATTTCGTCGTCCGTATCAATCGTATCCTGCTCATTCATAAAACCATACCATTTTGAAAATTCATCAAAAAGCGTTTTCGCTGTAGGCCGCTTTTTCGGATCAGAATTCATACATGATTCTGCTAATCTGGTATAGCAATCAGGTGTTTCTGATGTAATTGTTGGTCTTAATCCGTCGCAAATTTTTACCGCTAAATCATTATCAAACAAATAGTTATCAAATGGTGGAATTCCAGTGGTTATTTCTGCCATAACAACCCCAAAACCATATATGTCTGCTGCTTGTGTAAATTTTTCGCCTAACAAAATTTCTGGAGCAATATAAGGTAAAACTCCACAGATTCCTTTTCTTGATGCAGATTCTTCATTGTTTCGAGACAATCCCAGATCTGTAATATAAGACTTCATTATTTTTTCAAGCCATGATTCCTCTTCATGTTGTAGAATGTTACCACTATGAAAATCACAATGAATATATCCTGCTTCATGGATTTGAATTAAATCTTTTGATATGTCTGTTAATCGCAATAGTTTATCTTTCCATGTAAGTTTTTTAAAATTTCCCCTCAAATATTGACGAAGGTTTCCGCTATTCACATACTGAAATACCATTAAATATTGATTTGTGTCACTATTTTGAGTTAGCCCATATATCTCAAGTCTACTGCCCGTCAATCTGCATTTCATATGGTTTTTAAGCTTATTAAATAAAAAAAATTCGTGTAAATAATTTTATATTAAATACGCAAAATTAATTAAAAATTAATTAACTTACTTCTCGTAAAAATTCAGTGGAATTTGTTTGAGAACCGGGTAAAGTTTTAAGAGCAACTTTATTTTGTTCCGTACGTGACTGTATATATTTCTCTCCATCACGAATAATTTTTCGTTTGCCGTCTAACCAAATTGCTGAAAATACATGCCCGAATCCTCCCTGTGCAATCTCCTGAACACTATCCAACCTGTTGAAAGGAATCCATTCAATTACTTTTTCATATTCTGTAGTTTCAAATTGAAACTCTTTAATGCAACTATCAATATCATTATTCCCACTTGTCCACCCTTTAGCCGCTTTCAAAGGATCACATGATTGACACCAAGCTCTTGAAGTATTGAAACGTTCACAATCCGTACATTTTCCATAATTAGAATTTCTTTTAAGAGACATCTCAAGTACTATCATAAATTCATTTGTAGTAGTATTCTGTGTTATTCCATATATTTTAACTTCATTCTTGTTTAGTTGTATGTAATTTTTAAACTTTAAATAATTAATTTAGCAATATATCCAAAAAAAAAAAAAAAAAGCAACAATGACTATAATTGTTTGAACTTACTTCCTTTAAGAAGTCAACAGGATTCATTTTTGAATCAGGGAATGTCTTAAGTATAACTGAATATGATGGAATGCGTGATTGTACAGCATTTGAAACTGTTCGTATCCCATCTAACCAAATTGCTGAAAGCTCTGTGCCAAACCTTTCCTCACTTATATTGCTTATAATATCTAATTTATCAAAAGGAATCCATTCAATAACCTCATCATATTTGATAGTTCCAAGTTGAAGTCTTTTAATATAATTGTCAATATCCTCGTTTCTGCTTGTCCATCCTTGCGTTGTTCTTGGGGGATCACACGTTTGACACCAGGCCGGAAATGTGTTATATCGGTTACAATATGTGCATAATCCATTATAGGAGGTTCTATTCTCATAAAACTCTTCAAACACTATCATATATTCACAGGTGGATGTATTTTGAGTAATTCCAAATAATTTGCACTTTTCACCTTCTAACCGAATATAATCTTTAAACTTAAAATAAAGGCGTGTATCATTAATGTTAATAATAAACAATGGTTAGCAACACAGTAACTATATTCTAGCTTACCTCTTTTAAAAAATCAACAGAATTTATTTGTGAATTGGGGAAAGTTTTAAGCGCAACCAAGCATGATGGTATACGTGATTGCACATATTTTCCATTGTCGTTCGAAACTAATCGTATGCCATCTAACCAGATTGCTGTGAATTCTACGCTAAATTCTCTTTTGTTGATATTATTTAGTCTGTCAAAAGGAATCCATTCGATTATCTCATTATATTTTATAGCTCCAAACTGAGATCTTTTAATATAATCATCGATATCTTTGCTTCCGCTTGTCCATCCTTGTATTATTCTTTGAGGATCACATGTTTGGCACCAGGCCGGAGATGTGTTATATTGGTTGCAATATGTGCAAAGTCCGTTATGAGAATTTCTTACATATTCAAACACTATCATATATTCATTGGTGGACGTATTTTGTGTAAGTCCAAATAACTTAAAACTATTAATTGACTGTATGCATTCTTCAACCTTAAAAACAAAGTGATAGAATTTATATAAATTATGAGTAGATTATGGGATAATGTTATATGCATTAAAAATTTAATTTAGACCTACATTCTTTAAAAAATCAATACAATTTATTTGTGAGCCGGGAAAAGTCTTAAGTGTAACCACATATGACGGTATACGTTCTTCATTATTAGAAACCAATCTCTTGCCATCTATCCAAACTGCTAAAAATTTTATATCTAAGTCTCCTTCACTAATCAACCGTATGTTTTTTAGATTGTTAAAAGGAATCCATTCAATAACTTCCTCATGTCTTGTAGCTTCAAGCTGAAGTTTTTTAATGTAAGTGTCGATATCCTTATTTCCGCTTGTCCATCCTTGTGCTATTCTTGGAGGATCACATGTTTGGCACCATACTGAAGATGTGTTATATCTGTTACAGCATGAGCATCGTCCGTTACGGGAATCTCTTATATAATAAAACTCATCAAATACTATCATATATTCATAGGTGGATGTATTTTGTGTAAGTCCAAATAATTTACAATTATTAGTTGACCGTACGTATTCTTTAACCTTTAAAACATAAATATAATAAATAGAATTCAAATGAATTATAAGTCGATTATAGAATAAGGTTATGTGCATTAAAAACCTACATTCTTTAAGAAGTCAACATAATTTATTTGTGAACCGAAAAAAGTCATAAGTGTGACTGTACATCGAGATATACGTGTTTGTATGTATTTTCGATCATTTTTAGAAATTAATCGTATGCCATCTTTCCAGAGTGCTAAAAATTTTATATTTAAGTCTGTTTCGCTAATTTTCTGTATGTTTTCTAATTTACTAAAGGGAATCCACTCAATAACCTCATCATAATTTATAGCATTGTGTTGAGATATTTTAATATAATTATCAATATCATTATTTCCACTTGTCCATCCTTCTGCTATTCTTAGTGGATCACATGTTTGACACCAGGCGAAAGAAGTATTGTATCTCTTACATCGTGTGCATAGTCCGTTATTAGAAGATCTTCTAAACTCATCAAATACTATCATGCATTCATAGGTGGATGGGTTTTGAGTAAATCCAAATAATTTGCAATTATTAATTGACTGTATATGTTATTGAAGTTAGAAATAAATATGACAGATTATACAGTACAATGTAAAAATTTGATTAGTTAGGGTTATGTCCTACTTAAACTTACTTCATTTAAAAAAGCATCAGAATTTATTTGTGAGCTAAGAAAAGGCTTAAGTGTCACAGCGCACGGTGGTGTACGCGATTTTATGTATTTTCCATTATCTTTAGAAATTAATCGTATGCCATCTATCCAAACTGCCAAAAACTTTATATTTAAGTCTCCGCTAATCTCCTGTACGATTTCTAATTTACTAAAAGGAATCCACTCAATAACCTCATCGTAATTGGTAGCCCTAAGTTGAGACTTTTTAATATAATCATCAATATCATAATTTCCACTTGTCCACCCTTGTGTTGTTTTTGCGGGATCACATGTTTGACACCAAAATAGAGAAGTGTTGTATCTCTTGCATTGTATGCATTGCCCTTTCTCATAAGATCTTCTATTATAAAACTCATCAAGTACTATCATATATTCATTGGTGGATGTATCTTGTGTAAATCCAAACACTTTACAATCCTCAGTTGACTTTATATATTCTTCAACCTTAGAAATAAATTTGATAGAACTTATGTATATATATAATATAAATTATATCAATAAGTTATATACATTTAAATACCAACTTACTTTCTTTAAAAAATCAGCAGAATTTATTTGTAAATTAGAGAAAGTTATAAGTGTAACTGTACATGGTATACGTGATTGCATGTATTTTCCATTATCTTCAGAAACTGATCGTATACCATCTTTCCAAATTGCTAAAAACTTTATATTTAAGTCTCCGCTAATCTCCTGTATGTTTTCTAATTTACTAAAAGAAATCCATTCGATAACCTCATCGTATTTGGTAGCCCTAAGTTGAAATTTTTTAATATAATCATCAATATCATAATTTCCACTTGTCCACCCTTGTATTGTTTTTGCGGGATCACATGTTGGGCACCAAAATGGAGAAGTGTTGCATCTCTTGCATTGTATGCATTGTCCTTTCTTAGAAGATATTCTATAATAACGAGACTCATAACGAGACTCAGTAAATACCATCATATATTCAGAGGTGGTTGGGTTTTGAGTAAATCCAAATAATTCATCTGACTGTACGTTTTTAACGTTAGAAATAAATAATAAACTTAGGTGAATAAAATTGCTAATTCAGTATACATAAAAATGCTAACTCAAGCTTACTTTTTTTAAAACATCAACAGAATTTATTTGTGAACTGGGAAGAGTTTTAAGCTTAACAACACATGGTGTTGTACGTGATTGTATGCATTTTCCATCTTTATCAGAAACTAATCTCATGCCATCAATCCAGACTGCTAAAAATTCTGCATTTTTACTATTTTCTTGTACGTTTTCTAATTTATTAAAAGGAATCCACTCAATAACCTTATCATATCTGGTAGCCTTAAGTCGAGACTTTTTAATATAATTATCGATATCATTATTTCCACTTGTCCATCCCTGTAGCGTTCTTGTGGGATCACATGTATTGCACCAAGCTGGAGAAGTGTTATATCGGTTGCAATAT